TTGACGTACCCAATCGCTTCGCCCACAACCGTGCTAAACATTTGGTGGGTTCTACTTGTTTTTGACAAAAAGCAACAAAAAAAAGAGATCATCATGCATCTGCACAGTCAAACACATTGAAGCTTTCCAATGAGGCAATGAAGTATTCGTTCTCAACATGTTTACTCCAACTCCTTTGAGGACAAATTAGAGGGCGTTTCAAAAAATATGAGATTTGGTAGTCATTAAGAATATACAAAAGTTATTAGAAATTCATGAAGCTCTGCCAGAAAGATCTGATGCATTCATCGGTCTTTTTGAACAAAAAAATTCATAATTTGTTGGCAAAGAGGCTATATGGCAAACTCTTAGACGCATCGCCATTGAAATTCTGATCCAATATCTGCTACCATTGTACTCCTCGAAAAATATTTCTTGATCGGTACAAATCTTCAGGAAAAATTAAGTTGGAAACTTCCGGAAATTTAAATTGGGCCATTCCAAACTCCGATTTAAAAAACTTATAGTTACAATTGACGTCTCAAAAATGACGAGCCAACGACATCAAATAACCCAATCCAAGCACAAATGGGTCCAAATCATTTGAAGGTTCGAATTTAAAGTTATAATCTTAATTATGATTGTAGGCGATAATATTGTTTGTCATATCCATTAGTTAATTTTTTAGATTAGACTAGATTGGATTTTGATATTTTTATCACATCATTTTGAGTGATGACTTTCAATGCTCTTACCTTAGGACTTAATAAATTAAAGTTTTATATTTTTAATTTTTGACATCTTGTTGTAAACCTAAATACTAATTCAGATATCTTTTTTATGGAGGTCATTCTAGTCAATTATCTAGCTCACCCTAGTATGATTAGAAATCCAATTTAAAGTCCGAATTTTTATGGCTACAAATAGTAAGATTAAGTGATTTTTTAATTGAGATAAAGTGTACATTACTTCCTTATGAGTGCAACCCTCATGTTAATTACCCCTCATAATACATTAGAAGAACACTCTCGATTAAGGATGAAATACACTTAGCTTTATACAAGAAGTGTGAGAATGTGCAACATAGATTTAAATTTTGTTATGTGGGGATGAAGGTACACCCAATCAAGATCCCATAGTTTCATCATCCTGGGCATATCGTGGGTTCAGTCTACCAACACTAATAATCATTGATTGTAGTGTCCATAAAATTTGATTAGCAGCCATGGGTTATATCATATCAAGGATCCCGAGTAGACTTAAGTGGAGATGTGCGAATTTTAGTTTAATTTAACTTGGGTTGGGGCTTATGGCTTCCTTAGAAGTTACTCGTTAATTTGTTTAGTTTGGGGCTTACGACTCCCATTAGGCGTTACCCGTGTAATTTGATTTGGGTAGCGGCTTATGGCTTCATTAGAAGTTTCCATGATAGTGGGACTTACGGTCTCTTTTAGAGATAACACAAAGAATTTTGATTGGGTAGGTCTTATGTCTTCCTTAGATGTTGCCTAATGATGGGTCTTACGACC